CAAAGCCACACTTTAATCCTCCCATATTGCTTGGTAAAGTAAAGACTCATGTAGTCAAAAAAAGAGAGATATACAGTAAAGAGAGATTCAAAGAAAAAAAAATCCTCTAAATGGTTTACTGTGTGTTAAAATACATGTTGGCTTGTGAGAGAAAAGAAAAAGGTTAAAGTCCTGAAAATAAAAAGAAAGAAAGAGAATAGTTGGGTGTGGTGTTACACACCTTTAATCCCAACACTTGGGAGACTGTGACTTCAAGGTGTGGTGGTATACACCTTTAATCCCAAGGCCTGGGAGGCAGAGACAGAAAGATCTCTGTAAATTCAAGGTGTGTGGTAGCACATACTTTTAATCTCAGCACTGAGGAAGCAGAGACAAGCAGATATCTGTGAGTTCAAGGACAGCCTGGTCTATGGAGGGAATTCCAGGACAAAGATACACAGAGAACCTGTCTCAAAAAGCCAAAAGTTAAAAGTAAAAATAAAAGAAATAGAGGTTAAAATAACGCCATGTAAAAATGAAAAAAAAATACACAGAGAATTTGGATACTGTATGTTATTATGCTCTCTTTGATTGCTTTAATGTTGAGGATGGAGCAACAGCTGCTAAAAGATATTTGTTTATAAATGCTGCAGAATTAATCCAAGATAGGTATTTTGAAAATACCTTGACTTCAAAATTAAGTCAAAAGTTATGTTACTTTGGAGATGAGATTTTGCTTTTGTTTCCATAGGAAATGAAAGGTTGTGGATTCATTCTGAGTTAAGAAAAATCATGTTTCATCAAGGACGACCACCTGTGAAATCTCCAGTAGGAACAGATGGCCCAGATGTCTGAGTTCTACATCCAGAACATATTCAGGACTGCTGCCTGAGATGATTAAGACTTCCAGGATACTCTAGACAGGACTGAATCATAATTCAAAAATTTTTTTTAGGTCCCCATAAAATTATCAGCACTCCCAACCAGCAGGAAGTAGCCTGGAATACTATGCCCACATTCCCCCCAAAATGGACTATGGATATTTTCCTTTGTTTAAAAAAAAAAAAAGAGGGTGGGGAGTGGTGTGGAACAATTCTGTATCTGTCAATTATGTTTTAAATAAACACTGATTGACTGGTACCCAGGCAGGAAGTATAGGCGGGAAAACCAGACAGGAAGTAGAGGTGGGGCAATGAGAATAGAAGTATTCTGGGAAGAAGGAAGCTTCCTCCACAGTTCTTCCCAGATCATGGAAGAAGCAAGATGTGATCTACCCTGCCGAAAAAGGTACCGAGCCACGTGGCTAACATATACTAGAATAATGGGCTAATATAACAGCTAATACGAAGCCTGAGCTAATGGGCCAATCAGTTTATATCTAATGTAGATTCTCTGTGTCATTTTCTTTGAGGCATAACGACTGCGGGTCCCTGACAGGAAAAAAACCCCAATGAGCAGGCTATCATGTTATATGACCCCAGCTTAGAATCTAAGCAGTAGTGGAAAGGGTGCCTAAACTGGCCTTTCCCTGTAATCAGTTTGATATGATGACTACCTTAACTCTTATCATAGAACCTTCATCCAGTACCAGATGGAAGCAGATGTAAAGATCCGCTAAGCAGTCTGTGGAACTCCTGGAGACCTGTCACACACATGGAGCAGTGACAATATTATGAGCAAAGGGGCCAAGACCATGATGGGGATCCCCACAGAAACCACTGACTCAAGATAGTGAGAGCTCGCTGACACCAGACTGACAGCTGGGGAACCAGCATAAGCCCAAACTAGGCCCTTTGAATGTGATGACAGTTGTGTAGCATAGGCAGTTTGTGGGTCACTAGCAATGGAACCAGTCGTTATGCCTAGTGCATGAATTGACTCTTTGGAGCCCATTCTCTATGGAAGGAAACCTTACTCAACCTAGATATGGGGGGTGGCATGGTTCTGCCTCAAGTAATGTGACAGATTTTGTTGTCTCCCATAGGAAACCTCACAGACTCTGAGGAGTGGATAGGGGGTGGGGTGGGGAAAAGGTGGAAGGAGCTGGAGGAGGGAAGGGAGAGGGAACTGGGATACATAGGTAAAATAAGATTGTTTAAAAATCATCTCATAAAGAATATTTTCCTCAATGACTTTGGGTTCCAAAAAATGTTAAAACTGAGTTTTAGTAATGGAAAATAGGTTTAATTTTATTTGTAACTTAAATGAAAGTCTGTTATTTAATAACATGTTTATAGGCGACATTTGATGTGAAGAGTGCAGGTGACAGATAAGATGACAGATGCCTAGGACACCGTAATAGACGCCTGGAACCAAAGGAAGAAATGCCAGATACTGTATAGTGGTATTTCTTTGTCAGTTACTGCTCAAAGACAGACCAGCTGTTAGCCAGGAAGGAAAAAAATCTCCTTTCCTTTTTCTTTATCTCTGTCAGAACTCAAAGCACAAAAGAGGTATGGTTAGAGAAAGTTGTGTCTGACTTCCATAGAGGTGTATAAATTAAAACTGTAGCTAAACAAAGTAGCATGGCCGACATAGACGGCTGTTGTGAAAAAGACTGGGAAATTTTGTGTTATATTAAAGAAAGAAAGAATTTGTGCCATATGTGCATAATTCCTCTTCTAATAGTTGCTTCTCCACTGCACACTGCTACTGTAATTCCAACAGAAATATCTAGGTTCATGCAACACTTTTATTACTTTGTCTCCTTTTTTTTCTTCAGAGATTTATGGGAAATATTTTTGTACCCTGGGGAATCTACTATTTAGGTGGCAGTGAGGGGAAGAAAAAGACTCATTCTGTTTTCAGTACATAACCTCATTTTTGATTGCTGACAATTTGGAGCAGTAGATATGAAAAGAATATATACTACCGGTTGTTCTTACGGAAATATCCATTTCTTTTGCTTAATAATAAACTTACTGGGTTAAAGTAGTTATAACTAAACCTCCATTTGTTTCTGTGTGTGAGGTGTTCAGAGGGACACAGAGGGACTGGCTTGTCTCTATAAATTTAGAACCTCGCTGAAACACACAGGAAAAAAGTGATGTTATATTCATTCCCTCGGAGCTCTGAATTGTTGGATGAACTATCCATTTGTGTCAATGGCAAGAAGCTTACTACTTTCCATCTTTGCGTGGGCTTTATCTCGTGCCATACTGGAAGGTCAAGCCACTCGTCTTTTGGTATAGTTCCTAACACATTATTAAAAATAACTTTACACTTTTATCCAGATTTCCCTGCTTTTCCTATTCACTTTTCTTTTGTCTCAAGGATGCTGTATTGAAAGCCTCATTGGGACTCTCTTAGTTCCTGATAGTTTCAAGACATGCCTCATTGTGACTGTTTGGTCGGAATCGTCACCTCAGCTCCTTGACAGCCCTTTATACGAAGAGTCTGGAATATTTCTTTGGGGGTTTCACCCCAGTCCCCTGACATCCATTTTTGGAATGTGGGTAGAAAACTTCATTCCCCTGCAAGTTGTCTCAGTCCAAACTCCGCCTCCGAGAAAACCTGCCAAATGGAAAACACTCCCCAGGGAAGGTCAGGACCACTTCCATAGGCTATTAAACTGCCCCCAAGAGAATGAACCACGTGGTCTTCCTGTTCCCCCTCTTCTCTCCTTTTTCCTCTTCTCCTCTCCATGTTTTCCCAGGGCTACCAGGTAGTATTGCCATTCATTAAACCTGGGCATCTTTTAATTCGGTCTGATTTGGTCTGATAGGGATTATTTGCATAGGTTTTTTGGCCAGAAAAAAAAAAGTAACAGTGTGTGTATGTGTGTGTGCCTATGTGAAACACTCGTGTGCACAGGTCACTGGAGGCATGGGATCCTCTGGAACTGGAGTTCTAGGCACTTGTGAGCTCTGCAGGTGATGTGAGTGCAGAGAATCAAACTCAGGTTCTCTGGAAGAATAGTAAGTGCTCTTAACAGCTAAGTTATCTCTTGAGTCCTGCAGATTTATTTTAATGAACTTAGTCATGGTTGTCAGCCAACCAAAATCAAAGTATGTTGCTTTCATGATTGAAAAAACTGTCTGAAGCACAAAATTCCAATTTCTCACAGTATACAAAGCTTTTCAGAGCTCCTCGCTTTAAAGCTCTACCCCACCAATCACTTGAATTCTAGCCGGAAACAAAATCGTAGCAGTCTTAGGGCTGTGGCTTCTTCCCAGGCACTCTTGGCTGTTTCAATAGGTTGTTTTCCCTCAAGAGTATTCCTTTACATTTTCTCTCCAAGTAGTGTAACAGTGCAGAATTAATTATTCAAACGACGCCTATTGTATATTTTGGTTGAAGATACCTTAAAAGGACAAGACGAAGTCATTGTTCTCTTCCTGTTGACATTTTAGTGGATCAGGCACACTGTCAATAAATCACATTGCCCTTTGTTCTGAAGGAAGCAGGAGCTGAGATGAAGAAGTACAAATTAGTGGAATAAGATACAGTATACTTTCAAGAATTCTGAAACCGTCTCTCTGAAAATATTACAAATGAAGGTTTGGTAGCTACCAGCCTTTCCTCAGTTTCCTGAGGGGTCAGTCTTAGCTCTGTGTCTCCAGTGTTTGCTTTGGTCTTAATTGGCAAACAATGGTTTCAGAATCAAAAACAAATCAGTATAGCATGTAAAAAATTAAAACCATTTGTGTCTATCGCTCACTCCTAATCTACCTTTAAGAGAAGCATTTCTCAACCGTATTTGGAAGAACAGGATACCAGTGCACTTCCATTTGAGTCAGCTGACTTTAGGATGTTAGCGTTAACTTAATTTGTGGTAAAAGCAATCTTTGTAACATACGGCTCCTGTCTCATCTTGAGGATTCAGGCAGGGTGAAGGCATGGGCCATTCCCCCAGGGAATACAGACTTTCCTCTTCCACAACCAGGCTTCCACGTTGGCTGGCCGCCCTAACGCCGGCCCGCCTCCCTCCAGCAGCCAGCGCAGCGCCGGAGACACAGAAGCAGAGGCCGCCCCGCCCATTTCCGGGTGGTTGGCGCTGCGGCCGTCGCCTGCGTAATGACGTTTAAGTCCCCTGCAGACCCCGGAAGTGCAACTCGAATTTGGTCGGGCGCGGATCCCGAGAAAGTGGTGGATAGCGCGCGAGGGAGTTCGCCCAGCGAGCTGGAAGGCCACGCCTCCTCCCGCCAACCCCCTCAGCCGTGCAGCTGGGGGCAGAGCTCAGGTAGGACGGCGCTGGCCACCTCTGCGCCCCGCCACTGCGGCGGGACCCTGGCGGGGTTGGCCTGGCCAGCTCTCGGGCGGCGCTGTCAGAGGCAGGCATCGTCTCCAGGGCGCGTCTCTGACCTGTGTCTGTCCTAGACCTGGCAGAAGGGCCGCCTCCTTTTCCACTCTCCAGGCCGGAGGGACACGTGTGGCCTGTGGTGGCTGGCCTTGTATCTGAGCCCCGGAGGCTCTGGTGGTCACCAGAGACCTTAGATGCAGTAAGGGACCCTCCACTTACTGTATTACACTTGTCTGGCTGAAGTTGTGTCAGTTGTTGTTTTTTATACGAAAAATGTTAACCACTAAAACTTTGGTATACTTTTACTGCGACGTTAAAGTGTAGTTATGAAATGCCATCAAAGGTTTATGGTGTGAACGTTAGTGGGCTGTAGACATTCTTCTCAAAGTTACTTATGATTGGAAGCAGGCATTTCTCCCACGTCTTGTGCTTCTCGATTTCCATCTTTTGGGACTAGTAACTTCTGTCTGCGTGTGTTTGGGCTGCATTTTAAAGACACAGCATTTTCTGTTTATTGAAAGTTGGGTAGGGAAAGTTCTGTTCTGGACCTGCTACTGCCTTGGTTTGTTTGGTTTTAATAGGTATTGTGTGGTGGTGTTCGTAAAGTTCATGGTTTGGCCTTGCCTTAAAGCTCGTCAAAAGCGGTTTGTTTTCATTGTTCCTTATCCTTTCTTGACAAGGACTGATGCCCTCACTCTTTCTGAAGCTGAGTCTGAGCACTTTTTTGGTGCTAAACTCCGGTTCCTGTGGCAGTGCTGGTGTGGAGCTTCCTGTAAACTTTTCCTGGTTTAAACTAGGAGTCTAGTCCCTTTAATAGAGGTGGCTGCAATGGCGTTTCCTCTGGGACTGCAGCAGCACTTGGAAGTGGTAGAACAGTATCCAGGCCAAGAGGGAAATAGGATTTAAAAGCTGTGAGCATCGAGCTTTTCATTCTTCTGACTGTGTTGACTAGTCACCTTCAGTGAGTCAGGTAATTCCCCACTTGTTCCCAAGTTCAGAGAAGCCAGTGGTGCACGAAAAAGAAAGTCCTGTGTGCTTCTATCCCAGTGGGCGGAGAACAATCCAGAAGCAAATGCACAAAAAGTAGTGAGGAGCACAAGGAGCAATGAAGCAAGTGTGTGTGTGTGTGTGTGTGTGTGTGTGTGTGTGTGTGTGTGTG